ATATTTCTTATCAACCTCATTTTTTTTTTCGTTACCCTTAGGATCCTGCAGAAAAGAAAATATTTTCTCTCATTCTCTCATTTTGCCTAGGTGCCCTTTCGGGTTTTCATCCCAGCTTCCCACATTTTTCTGTTTCAATCCTCACAACTCACTCTTATTTTTGCTTTATTTTTGCTTAAGTTGCCCTTTCAGGTTTTCAACTTAACAAGCTTTTTTTTTTTTTTTTTTTAAAACAAGAATAAAGAGTATGAATGTGAAAATTCCATAAAACTCTCCCCCCAAGCTAATCAAAGCACTGTCCCTAGTGCTTGTGTATGAGATGAATGCGTTTTTTTTTTTTGGTACTTTTGGGAGGTTTTGTTGGTGATTTGTGGGTGTGGAGATGAAGAGGGTGAAGAGGAGATGAATGAATTGGGTTTACTTGATGCATTTGGTGGATGGATGTAGGAGATATGAAGCTTTGGACTCTTGGAAATGGAGGAAATTTGGGGTTCGGTTCGAATGGGGAAAAGAAAGTGAGGAAGAAAGCTGCCCGCCCGCCTCCTGATCGGGATTTTTCCCGACCGCCCGGCCGGGTATAGTGAATGACCCGGTCGGGCGTAAACTGTTCACCCGAGGCAGAGAGTTTTTTGCAGGGTTGCCCGGCCGGGTACCCGGTCGGGTGTGTCTATTTTTTTCTGTTCCTTAGCTGCCTCGCCCGGGCGAGTTGTGCGGGTATGGTATTTTTACGCTATACCCGACCGGGTGTAGTGTGGTATCCGGCCGGGTATGTTCCCCAGGCTTCACTTTTTTTTTTTTTTTTTTTTTTTTTGAAGTGTAAACTTAAACTAGAAAAAAAGTAAACGTACCTTACATGGGTTGCCTCCCAAGAAGCGCCTCGTTTAACGTCGCGGCACGACGCCATCATTGTGTTCAATCGTTCAAGCTTGGATGGTGATAATTCATCTTCTTCACATTTTCACTCCTAGGACTTACATAGGAATGCTCAATTTTCTGACTCTTCACTTTGAAAATCTTTCCAGGATCAAATATCCAGATTTTCATTGATTCATGTGGGAGGGAGGGGAAGAAACTATCGTTTAGCATGGTCAATGAAAAGTTTTTCGACCTCTCAATTTTGAAGAAGATTTCGGAAATGTCATTGTCCTTTTCAAGTTTATGAGTTTCTCTTAAAGCTTCCAGAAATGATGGAGATACCTCAAAGGATGACAATGACAAAGATTTGAATTTGAAGCTCGGCTTATCCTCTTCTTTGACCAGTTGGAGCTCCGTATCTTTTACTTCTTCTACTTCTTCTGGATTCTGGATCTCCTTTTGCATTTCCTTTTCATTTGTCAATGTGATTGCAAAAGTTTGCTGTTTAGGATCACATTCTATTTGAGAAGGAAGCTTTTCTGAATCCCTTGCTTCAAGCCTACTCACGGCTCCGGCTATTTGACTTATTTGAGTTTCCAAGTTTAAAATGCTAGACTTGGTCTCATTTTGGAATTGCACCATGTTGTTTTGCATGGTGGTCATGTTGGTAGCAATAGCCCGGACCATATCCTCCGTAGACATGTTAGAGTTGGAGAACGGATCATACCTCATTTGAGGTACATCCCTTTCGTAACCAACCTCATTAATTTGTTCAAGGTATTCATCTTGGAGCTTTGGGCAGAAATCCGTTAGATGCCTGTGAGACATGCAAATGTTGCATGTATTGGCATCTTGAGCTTTTGAGCTTAAGATAAATTCATTTATTAGAGAAGTCAAGAAGGAAATTTGACTCTCTAAGGATGAAATGTTGGTATCCATACACTCATAACTCATGTAAGCTCAGAAAATAGAAGAGTAAGTTTTTTATTTTATTTTTTTTTTTTTTTTGTTTTTGATTTTTATGAGATAAAATAAAAAGAAAAATAATTGCCTTTCCCCGGCAACGGCGCCAAATTTGACGTGCACTTTGTCGTGAGTGCACTCAAAGTAATTTCAACACTAACACTTATACGTAGTATAGTGTAGTAGAGTTCGTATCCACAGGGAAAGGAATAACTTTCTTTTTATATAAATAGTAAGTAAAAGGGGGGTTTTGATTGTTGAGTGATTTAATTAAATTAAACACGAAGATGAACGATTTATATGGGATTTAATTCAAAGATAAAAGGGACTTGGTCTTGCTACTTTCCACTTGTTGATATATTTTAGTCGATCATTGTTATATCCATAACTTATCCCCTCTCGAATACTCAATCGCGGAGTATAACCAGTTCATCGAGGGTAGTTATTAACAACGACCGTTCATTAATAACCCTTACTATTAGTCATGTATAGAACACCGCCATATACCGACTTAATAGTAGCATTTAATCTCTTAACTCCTTGATGAAATCAATTGAGATTGATAACCTCAACACAACGGTTTCGGTTTAACCAACAAAATTAATCCCTCTTAAGTTTATTAACCACAACCGTGCATTAATAAACCGAAGTTACTTACTTGTGAAACCATCAACGATTAGCCATCGGTTCGTTGATCGTTTCTAGTAGTAATTAATGTCGAGATGTTAACTAATTGTCATCTTAGCAACACTCCCCAACATTAATATAGAGATAGATTAAGGGAAGAATTAATATTCAAGGAAGAAGATTAAATATGAATAATCCTACTATAACTAATGTCAAGATGTTATCTAATTGTCATCTTAGCAACACTCCCCAACATTAATATATAGAGGAAGAAAATAAATACTACTATAACTAATGTCGAGATGTTAACTAATTGTCATCTTAGCAACACTCCCCAACATTAATATATAGATAGATTAAGAGAATAATTAATATTCAAGGGAAGAAGTTAAGAAAATAACTCACAACTTTAATAATCAACAAGCTTCAAGAGCAACACCAAGAAATGGAAGTTTAGCTCCTCATTTGGAGACTAAACATGCTAAAAAAATATAAAAGAAATACTATTCTAAGTTGAGCTTAAGAGTATGGAAGAAGGAGTTATTAAAAGTGAAGGAAAATGGGGCTATTTATAGGTGTTTTCAATACCCTGGGGCATTTACCCGACCGGGTAAATGGGCATACCCGACCGGGTAAATGTCAAAATCAAATATTTGCCCACGATTCCTTGTTTTTAGCACGTCGGATTGTCCCCGGTCAAGTCCCACCCGACCGGGTGGGGTAGTGGGCCCGACCGGGCCTAGCAATTTCCTTGCTAGTTCGGTTTTCACTTCCTACCCGACCGGGTGTGGGTTGATACCCGGTCGGGTTTTTCCTCCAGGGCAGTCAAATCTCCTTTTTCTTCACTTCAAAGTCTCCCTTTCCAACACCATAATTCCTAATTCTACTTTACAACTTACAAATGAGAACTAAAATACAATTACAACAAAAATCACACAAATGTTTACAAACTAAATAAAACGATAAACAATACACACAAATCAAACACAAAAACACACACTTATGCACTACTAATTAGTGCATATCACCCGAATAGCACTTAGCTTAATCTGAGGGCTAAATCGGCGTTTGGCAGTTGTGTTGCAACCATTCTATAGCTTGAATAGAATTGGATACACTTTGTCTCTAATTTGTCTCTTGTCTTGCTATTTTCCTTGCCTTTAACATGCATTAAACAACCTACTAACAAAAGCCTTCCAACGAAGGTCAAAGGACCGTGTTGGGCCTTGGAATCTCGAGGAATAAACTTCAACATAGCGTTTTATTCTCTTATACCGTTCCGGTGTGAGATAAATACTTCAATACCCCCTTGCGCAAATTAGGATGGACAATATCGAGGTGTATAAATCGGCCAAATAGACCCTGACCTTAACGAGCTTTCCTTACCCATGGATGCTAAGCAACAATCAAACCACCACAATATTGAACATGCTTTGATACCATATTAAAATCGGAGTTCCATTTTAAAAGATCAACTTGATCGACGAAGTACATAGTTGAAGATCTTAAATGACATTTTATTCTTTTATACTTGATATGAGACGAATACTTTAACAAGTGACCACAATAATATGTACATAATGACAGTGGCGGAGCTAGGGTGTTATGCTAGGTCTCGGTCCACTTCAAATTTTAAAAAATGTCGTATTTATTAGTGTACAAAATTATTCAAAAAAATTCTTTGCAACCACCTAGTGGCCAGGGTCATGGCTACCCCTGCATAGTTAGTATTGAATATAATCACTATTATGGTGAATTTTTATTTGATTGTATACAGATTGTGATGATCAGGGCCGGCCCAGGGCATGGCTGCCAAGTGCGACCGCACAGGGCCCGGATTTTTGAAGGGCCTAAAAAAAAATTAGTATTACGCCCCAGCCCAAAATCCCCCTGCGTAAATCTAAATTTACTTGAAGAATGTCCCTTTTTAAATAAATTGTAAGTTATTAATGACTATTTTTATCATTACATTTATTCGTAAATTGTATTTTAAGACAATTTGCTTGTGTTGCAACTTGAAAAAAGACCCAAATTTTATTCTCGCACAGGGTCTACATTTCTTCGGGACCGGCCCTGGTGATGATATATTCATAATGATTATATCGATTATCTTGTCATAATTTTTGTTTGTTTTTGTGGTAAACAGGAAACACCCTTTAAATGACCATGTGTTGCGAAATGCCAAAATCAATGCAAAATAATATCGCTTGTCTCAAACATAACATTTCGCAATTATTTAGGAGGAAAAATACCAAGCGTTATATTGAAACAATATCTCGAGGGCATTTCATCATCATTATCATTAATATTTATTATAATTAATCATATTTAATTTACAAATTACTTAATAAAAAGAGACATAAATAAGTACTGCAAAGGAAAAGTCAAAACAAAAAGCGAATGATGGCCAATGAAATAGGCAAACAAATAAAAACCACATAGTGCCCTAAAGAATGGCAAATGAATAGAAGCCTTAGAATAGAATCCACTCTTTTCGATGGATGTATTTCATTTGCAAACACTATAAATGCCTCTTGCTTTGAGATTTCATAATATACCCACACAAAAAAACATTAAAGTAAACAATATATAATACAAGATGAAATTTTTATATTGCCTAAGTGTCTTCACATTTACGACATTCTTGTTGTTCCTTAATGGCGAAAGTGCTGTCATAAATATTGCAGCAAAACCCAATGCAGATGTTGGCCCGGTAATATATATGATTCATAATAAACATATTATTATATGTGAACATTTTCCCCAAGTGTTTCTATTTTTTAATTTTTTCCCAAGTGATTATTATCTTTCATACATTATGTTAGCTACATAATTGACAAATTACCATGAAAATAAAAAATGTGACAGGATTTGTTGAGCGCATGGAAGGAAGCATGTGCAGCCACAACAGGAAGCACCATTGTGATCCCAAAAGGAGAATACCCAATGACCCAAGTAGTGCTTGCTGGGCCATGCAAAGGCCCAATTGAGCTCAAAATCGACGCCACCTTAAAGGCTCCGGCCGACCCCGCCACGCTCGACAGCAACAAGGAATGGCTCACCATCAATAACGTCGACCAGTTCACACTCTCCGGCACCGGCGTCCTTGACGGCCAAGGAGCCAAATCATGGGACCAAAATGATTGCAAGAAAACTGCAACCTGCAATAAGCTTCCCAACGTAAGCCCAAAAGTCTTTTTCTTTAAAATCTTAGACTACCATTACAAACAATTTACGGGATTGGCACGGTTTTATCAATTATTTCGTGCCAAATAGCTCGTGATAAACTGTTTTTTGGCACAAATTTGGCACATACCTACCGAAATCCCTGCCAACAATCTTACAATATACTCTTCCGATTAGGAAAATCCCTGCCAAAAATCCCTACCAAACTTGCAATATACTCTTCCTATTAATTAACTTATTATGAGATTGTTATTAATATTTCCTCCATTTTTTTTTTAGTGCAACACTTCCATTTTCACCTTTGTGAATGCAAAATTTTGATCATTAATATGTATAATTTTCAAATTATAAAAATTTCAAAAAATTCACATTTTGAATATTTTAAATGAAAACAATTTAATTATATTTTTTAAAAAATAATTATCTGATGTACTCTTAAAGAAAAATCAAAATAGAAAATATGAATAACGTAAAATCTCTAACGTCGCAAGATTAATATGGGGTCAAAGAAAATATAAACATATACTTCGTATACTACTCCGTACTTCCTATGAAACTAATTAATACGGAGTACTACGTATACAAGATTTGACTACTCGTACTTTTAATTTACAATGGAACTTGAGGTCCCATTCTTATGATATAAGAGGCTATAGTACACTCAACTTTAGTGTTATGTTTATCATAAAAAAGACATTTAATTATCATAACCTTTTCTGGTTGGTTAATGCAGAATCTGAGTTTGAACTTTTTGACAAACTCATTGATCCGGGACATAACTTCTCTAGACAGCAAGTTGTTTCACGTTAATGTTCTGGGCGGTAAGAACTTAACGTTCGACCACGTCACCATCAAAGCCCCGGGGGACAGCCACAACACCGACGGAATCCACATTGCAAAAATAGTGGATGTTAACGTTAAAGACAGCACCATAGGAACCGGAGATGACTGCATCTCAATCGGAGACGGAACCGAAAACCTTCACATCACGGGTGTGACATGCGGTCCCGGTCACGGCATCAGCGTCGGGAGTCTCGGAAAGACTCCCGGCGAGGCACCCGTGAAAGGCGTCTTCGTGGAGAAGTGCAACTTCATCAAGACAGACAACGGAGTGAGAATCAAAACATGGCCCGATTCGCACCCGGGAGTCGTGACCGATATCCATTACACTGACATAACGATGGAGGACGTGCAAAACCCGATTGTGATCGATCAAGAGTACTGCCCTAATAACCAATGCACCAAGGTAAAGCCATCACAGGTGAAGATCAGCAAAGTGAGCTATAAGGGCATAACAGGAACTTCTGCAACCGAGAATGCCGTGATCCTTGCCTGCAGCAGTGGGGTGCCATGTGAGGGAGTTGACGTCGGCGATATCGACTTGAAGTTCAACGGCGGGGCGGCGAAATCTACTTGTACCAATGTGAAGCCCACCTTCACTGGAAAACAGAACCCGGAACTTTGTGCCACTACTGCAGCTTCCTCTTGAAAGCAGTTTTAATTGACATTGAATTGCTGCAAGAGTTTGATCAATTTTTATCATCATAAAATAACTTACCGGAAAATAAAGAGGACTGAGTTGAGCTTGCTAGATGGATGTATATCCAGCCTTTGTGGCCATTAGAGGCAATAAAGGGATATGTAGTATCTAATAGGTAACAATTTGTTCTGGAAAAGTATATCCAGATCTGCTAATATTAATTCCATATTTTGGATATGATGTTTGACAAATGTTACAATAAGCACCTAGGAGAAAAAGGAGAATTTGCCTAGAATAATGTTAAATTAACTCTAGTTAATACTCAATTAACTACGTAATGCTCAAAGTAATGCTCAATTAACTCTAGTTAATACAAAGGCTGATCTAGTTTGCGGCTTAGGCAAAATCAAATACGGAGTATTCTGAACGTAGCAACATGCACAAGATAAAAAGAATGATGAGTCCCACAAATACAAAATCTCTAATAAAAAACTGCCCAAAATGGAATGGAGGACTAATAATAAAGAATGGAGGGAGTAATTTTTATATACTCCCTCCGTTCCGCTAAGAAGTTCTCAGTTTGACCTACACACACATTTTAAGGAAATAAACTTACTAGGAGGGTAAATTTTACTATTTTGACACTGTTTCGATACTGTTTCACACTATTTTGATGTAGATAACTCTCCCTTTAAAGAAAGAGGAACTTCTTTTTGGGAGTGCTAAAAAAGGAAAGTAAGAACTTCTTAGCGGGACGGATGAAGTATTATTTGTAAGAATCGAAGAACAAATAAAAAAGTTATAATACTTTTAAAAGCATAGGTTGTTGTTTAAAGTGTCTATGTTTTAAATTATTTTTACATATGCAATATTAGTGTCATATGAAAGATAATAAAAAATTATAAATTTAGATATATTTTTTGTAACAATCAGAATATAAATAAAAAAGTTATAGCACTTCAAAAATAATTAGAGATTTTTTATTTGTGGGGCCCAGGATTCTTTTTGTCTTGTGCGTTGCATGTTGCTACGTTGTACAGGTTTGGGAAATAGAGTTAATTGACTAGAGTTAAAGGAACTATTTGATCGGCTGTTTTTATTAACTAGAGTTAATTGAGCATTAGTTTGGGAAATATTTCTAATCATACTTTAATTTGGTAAATATTTTTTAATTTAACATTATTCTAGAAAAAAACTCGAGAAAAAGGAACGATATTAGTCCTTTCACATTAGGACTATACTCCCTTTATTATCAAAAGGGGAGCAATATATGTTTCTTGTTCCTACTCTACCCCCAACCTATAATTCCCAATAGATTGATTTATTAATAAAAACTTCATAGTTTTATTTCATAATAAAAAAATAAAAAAATCGTAAAAATATTTATAAAAAACTTGAAGATCGGTAAAAAATAAAATAAAAAAATAAAAAAATAATTTAAAAATAAAAAATTAATTTAAAAAATAAAAAATTATATAATGATCAGGAAAAAATCTAAAAAATAAAATAAAATACCTAAAAAACATGTAAGCCACTATCTACGCATCCTTCACTTCCCATCACCACCACCTCCGATCTCCGAAAAAAATGTCATCTTGTGCAAAAAATGTTACATTTCTTTGAAAATGCCATGAACATGACATTTTTACTCTTTGAAAATATTCAACTTTCTTTTCAAAATTGCTATCCCGATGACATTTCCCCCCCAACTTGAAAATCTTTTCCGGCGATCGGAGGTGGCGGTGCTGGAAGCTGGCTGAGGTGGTGGTTGAGGTCTGCATCTTTTTTTACTTATTTTCTACGATTTTTTCTACGTTTTATAATGATTATTTAAAAAAATTGTACTAGGAAAGACAAGGGAAATGATAAAATAGGAAGCGTTACGTTAGTCCTATTTTAGGAATTTACACTTTAAAATACCTATTGTTGCAATTATATTTTTTTTTAGTCTTGTTTAACTAGGGAAATCTCTCAAAAGGAAAGATGAACTAAAATAGAATAATAAACAAAGCACAAGAACATATATATGGGCCGTTTGGATTTCGGCGTTTCAGGCCAAAATTGGCGTTTTTGACTGCTTAAACGTTTTGAAGGATCCAAACCTCTGTTTTTTTCGTTTGGCAAATGGAGATTAGCAGCGGCATTTTGGATGAAACCTCCAAAAACAAAAACGCTACAAATCGGAGTGTTTAAGTTTTGGCATGCAGATTGAAACAATTATTGAATTCCACAGGTTGCCCTCTCATCTCCGCCCTCTCATCTTCGTTTTCTGTTGCTGCTGCGGTCACTTGAAGGTCTACAGCATGGCCGGTCCTAGGGCCTAGGGGGAGGGCAGCAGGGACGACCGCCCTAGGCCCGAAAAAAGTACAAAGAAAATTAGGCCCAAGTTTTTTCCTTTATATGTAATATGAGTAGGCTTTTTATTTATTTATTTATAATTTCAATTAATTAATTAGGCCTAATGTGTCATTTTTCTTGACAATTTGAGAATTTAAAACATAAGTAAAAAGTCTTGAACAAAGCTAGACAAGTTTTTAAAAAGAATATAAATTTAGTTTTGATTTTTAAATAAAGTTGGTTGTAAGTCAACACATTTGTTGTTGAATCAATAAAAACACGTCTCTTCACATCGTTTTAACCTTTGAGAATTTTTATTCTTTTAATTACAAAATTACCAAGTATTAATTTAACATATTCAAATTACACACTACATAATTTAATATATTTCGGATATTTTTGTTATATCAAAACACATTATAATTGGATAGTTAAAGTGTTGGAATGCCACTTTAACAAAAACTGTACACACTAGCTAGTTCACTACACATTCAATTTACACAAATAATTTAATACAAATTGCACAAATAATTACACAAATAATTGAACACAAGTATTAATTTAAATATATAAAGTACACACTAACATATATTTCAGATATTCGGTCGGGTCGGGTTGGGATTTCACAAACCCTACCCGCCACCCGGTCTAGGCCCAATACTAATCAGATTTTCGGTTTCGGGTTTTTCGGGTCGGATATCAACTTCGTTTCGGATAATATCCGAAAAAAATATCGGGTTTTTCGGGTCGGATCGGGTTTTGCTCAGCCCTAAAAAATGGGGGTACCGTACCTACAATGCATTTGATTGGTTCAAATCATTATAACCTATTTAATTTAGATTTAAATAATTCATCTGCATCATTTTGATTGGTTCATGTAGGCAAAGGTATGGTACCTTATGGGTACCATAGAATCTACCATAAAATAAAGATATACGTAGCACTTTTTTGATACATCGGAATAGAATAAAGTATATAAACTTGATAGAGATAATGGATATTGTATGATAGAGATTTGTGCTGAGAGAAATGTCTATGAACCACAAATTCTTTATCGAAAAAGGAAAATTAAAGTTCATTTTGGGACGACAAAAAAAGGAATTTCAGAAGTTTAATTATTCCCAGTATAAAGAGTTTTTTTTTAAAAAAATACTATACAAATAAAATATATTTAAAAAATAAGTTATTATTAATATGGTACTAGCTACCTCCGTCCCGCTAAAAGGTTCCCATAGCAAAACGACACGGTTATTTATGTGATAATAATTAAATAAAGTACTTTGGGTATATTTTGAGGAATAATTTTAATAGGTATATATTATAATGTGTTAGTATTGATAACTGTGATGTTATAAATGTATTGTTTGTAATATTTAATGACTAATATGTCACTTAATATTGTTAATTACTTCGTATTTCCTAAAATGGAAATGGAAACCTTCTAACGGGATGGAGTGAGTATCATGTTACTTAAGTTGAAAGTCGAACATAAGCGATATGATTAAATTACTATTATAACAATACACTTAAGATTTTACTTTCACCGTCTCATAAAATCGTTTCCACTTATCATCTTGGGATGTCCCATTTACTTTTTTCTTATTAATACATAACAACAGCCATACATTTCTATGTATTTCTATTTTCTTAAACTCTAATTCAAGTCAAACTTGAAAGAAATTTATGGGATGAAGGTAATCCGTTTTTCTAATAAAAAATTGACATGTATATTATTAGTATAGGATTTCCATGGACAAAATATGACTAGTCGTCACTATGTATGAGTAGTTACACAAGAGTCACTATAATATATTTTAGAGTGAAAAATCACTAATAAATGATTAGTCACTGGAAATTAGTAACTGAATATATCATTTTTTTGGAAAATTTTAAAATAAGTGATACATATGTCTTTTGAATTTAATTTACTAATATTCATTGACAAAGGCCATTGTAACACTTTATATTTTAGTCATAATTTTATTATAGTTTTATAAATAAAATTCTCAGGGACGATGTAAATGATTTTACTTTTAATTAATTTGGGTAGCTGTAAACAACTTGCAGGAGTGATGAATAATCATACTTGAACCCAAAGCAAAGAGTCCATCCGAAGAAAATCAGTTGGAGATTCCAAATCGTAGTGTAATAATTAATTAACTAACTAGTTTCCCAATCCTAGTGTAGTAACTAGTTTGAAATTAATTGTGCTCTGGTTTTTGGAAACTAAAATACTTGGAGAATAAGTCGGACTGGAATCGAGAAATACGGAAATTAGAAAGAAACCCTGTGCAAGGATTCTCATTTCCAAAACCTATATATATTTCATTGCCATTTCTCCTTCTCTTCACACCAATTCTCCGCAGTCACAAAAAGAAGAGTAGAGAAGTAATTAGTCGAAGTTTAGTATAGTAGCTTAATTCAATCATTGATCGTCGATCATGGTGGGGAAGATGATATTGTCGCCGCTTCCAGGCGGAGGGTACGTTCAGCTGCGGCAGGGCTATTCCAATTTGGACCTCCTCGCCGCCGTCTGTGGGGCTGTTTTGGAGAAAAACCCTAACAGTAATTCTTCTTCTTCCTCCTCCTCCTCTCCTAAATCAGTATTTATCCCGAGGAGGAAGAGGAGCCGTCCTAATAGAAGTACAAGTCACGAGGTTATTATGGCAGCAGATTCCGTCTTGAAATGTGGCGTCTCCGGCTTCAAAAGGGTGTCAATTGGAGGGGAGCCAAGCAATCGGAAGAAAAGGGCGGCCAAGAAAGTGAAGAAGCGGGTCATCGCCGACGAGAACCAGCAGCCGGCGGCGGCTGAGGCAGGGCCCATGCCGGAGAGATTCAGGGGCCGGATCCGTCAACTGGCGGGGCCAGGCGCGGAGATAGCGGAGGAGATGCTGCTGATCGAAAAGCAGATAACGGCGACCGATTTGAACCCCAACGAAGGCCGGCTGTCCCTCCCTCTGAAACAATTGAGACGGACGGATTTCTTGAG